ACAAAATACAGTTTCAAAGCTAATTAATTCAGATACAAAACTTTAAATTCAGTTCCAATTTAGTAAAATTCTTTTTCAAACCAATGCATTCAATTTCAAATTATACACATTCAGATTAATTTCCTGCTGGCACAAGATTGATCCCATAGATCCAGGTTTGAGAAAAACGAGCTGTGTCCACATCATTGGCACACAGTTAGGTTTGTTCTGATCCTGTTTGTGGGTTCACAGAGAGGGTCTTGTAGTTGTGAATAGGGAGGGGGAACTATCTTTGGGGTCACAGATGAGTCTCTGCCTCAAGTTAAGGAGTCATTTCTCTGAGAGTCCTTTTCACAATGCGATGCAACCTTGACAAAACACAGTGAAATTTTAACTGTGAGAGGTTACTGAGTGAAGAGTTATAGGTTCATAAAAGTAAAATCAATCAGAATGTTTTAATGAAACACTGCCTTTATGTAAACTTCTGAGTTTTCTGTCTTTCACCATTAATGAAAAACTGAACTGTCTCCTGTGTTTCTGTCCTTCTAGCTTGGTGTCAGTGATCCGAGGCCAGGTGCTGACTTCTGATGGGACCCCCCTGATTGGAGTTAACGTGACATTTCTTCACTATCCTGATCACGGCTACACCATAACACGCAGTGATGGCATGTGTGTACTCATCTTCTTCTGCTCCTTTTGTGCTTTTCATTTTTCATTGTCTCTTACGTTCTGGTCCAAAATGATGACAGCMGAGCTCACTTTATTCTTGCAAACTCTTTTCTGGCRCCAACTACTCATTAAATTATACATATACCTGTATACAGGCAACAATACACTCACAAACAACCCATGTGTAATAACCAATGTGCAATATGAACAATTTTAATGTGCAACATACACAATATCTATGTGCAATAACTCTGTCAAATGTGAAAGAGCCATGCAGTGATGCCTTAGTTTTATTTTTTATCTTTCTTTATTTTTAAGATTTTATGTTTCTTCTTTACATCTTGATATTGTAAATATTGTTTTTTTTACTCTTCTTTGCTCTTTATATTCAAACAGCAGAAGGGAACACCTAATTTTGTTGTACTTGTTACAATGACAGTAAAGATATATTCTATTCTAAATTGTAAAGTAAAACCAATGAACCACATACAGTAGCTACATGCAGGGCAGGTGTTACACTATATTTTGTGACCGTCATATATTGTGACCAGAGGGGGCACTGTTGTGTTTCTAAAACAGAACTTGGCCAAAAATAGCCGCAAAGAAGAATATGATATGCCAAAAGTGTAACCCTGAGGTCACAAAATATGACAACTATTGTCATATATTATGACTTCACTGTAGCTTGGTAAATAGTAAAAATATTTATTCATACACTGATTCTACTCATTATATACATCCTCTAACGTCAAACAAATAACTTCTGATCACTGGCATGTTGAGTAAGTAAGTAAGTAAGTAAGTAAGTAAGTAAGTAAGTAAGTAAGTAAACTTTATTTCTATAGCACCTTTCACAGACACAAACATCACAAAGTGCTTCACAGAAAGCAAAAACTAATTAAAAACAATAAAATAGATCACAGATATAAAAACAACAATTAAAACACAATAAAAAGCACATTAACTAAAAGCCTGTCTGAATAAAAATGTCTT